ATATCTTTATCAGATGAGGATCCCTTTTGGCTTGAATTGGAAGAGGATATACAAATGAGAATTCTTGTGATTATTAAATTATTGAATCGGGGAGGATTTCAGAAAATTTAGTACTTCATCCAGGCACTTCCTTTTAAGAACCTTTGGGAAGGGTTACTGTCTAACCACAATTCTGCTCGTAGTTCTTCTTAATTTCCAAAACCCATTATTTGCATATTTGTCATAACAATTATCACACTTTGAATTCATGTTCTAGTTATTTATGCATGCATATTTCCTTCCTGTTAGACGACAAGATCCATGATAGAATGCATGCTATTGAGTACTACAACCCCAGAGAGTGTCTGGCACAGTGATTTTTCAGTGATTGAGTTCAATATTGATTAAACGAATAAGTTTATTTTTTCTGACACTATGTGATGGTTTAGATAGAATAGTGAAAAAATAATAAAACACATCATATTCTGATCATAAAGATTTTCTTAAAACAGACCATCCTATGTATCAATCTACTGAAACCATGGATCCATTTATGATGTTTACTATTCTACACTTGAAGATGTAATTTATTTATTTTTTCTTGCTGTAAGTACACCTGAAAGACTGACTTTTTGGGGGAGGGGGCACTTTTAAAACCTGTACTAAAGTAAGTACCTATTAGTTTGTATTTGTAATCTTAGCTTGAGACCTAACTTTTTGGCTCTTTTCTACTATCAACACGGATTTTATTAGCATTTAGTAAACCATGTTTTTCCTCCAAATAGCCCCTTTAGTTTTAGGTTACAGATTCTATTTTGTCAGCTTTTTATGTTTTGATGATTTATTCAATTATTTTAGATTAAAATTTTATTAAAATTATTTCCTTAATTTAAATATATTTGGAATATTGTTTATAATAGATATGCTTTAAAATTGGTGAAGGGACAGATTTAATCTTTTCCTCTTGCCAATAACCCATCTGGTTGCTACTCAGCTATGGACCAACTGTCATCAGAGTAACCTGAGAATTTGATAGAAATGTAGTGTCTTGGGCCCCAGCCCAGACCTACTGAATCAGAATCTGCATTTAAAAAAATATCCCCTGAAGATTTGTATGCACATTAACGTTTGAGAAAAGCCAATCAATTGAGTATTTTTCTGAAATTCACCCTGCTGCAAAAGCAGCTGACTGTAATGTATTCTTCAATGCAGACCACAATTTGGAATTCTGATTTATTTGATGCCTTAATGTTTATTGACTGCACCTGGTGTGCTAGGTACTGCAAGGGAAATACAAACCAAACAGTGATTGTTCTGCAATTACTTTAAGAAGACACAGACAATTTGCTATTTTTTCATTCCTTTGTACTTTAAAAAATATACAGATACATCGAAAGAATAGAAGAGTTGAGTAGGAGAGACAATCTGGTTGAAATCCCACTCAAGAACGATGTAGCTTATTGTTAAGAGTAGATGAGGGATGTTTCACATTCTGATAGAAATGAAGGGAATTTTGCCAATCGTCTAGATGTTGGGTCTGGGGAAAGCAAACATCTGGATGGCTGAATTTTGTGTAGACAAAGTATCTGGACAATTGCTTGCATTTTCCACTTCCCCTCCAGATGTTTAACATTGTGTTGATGTAGCTCAAGCTCATTGCTCTCATTCATGAATTTTTAGTAGAAAAAGTTCTAAAAGCATTGATTTCATGTCGACATTCTATTCCTCATGAAAATTATAGTGTTTAAACCTAATATTTGGTCAAGTTTTTTTCCCCTTGAGTTAAATTACCATTTATATAATGAATTTAGAAGATATTCTTAGTTGCTGTTGTTAGGATGTGATGAAATAAAAAGGATTCATAGGTGTTCAGAATATGCCACCCCCAAATGTGCCATTTTGGCATAAGGATTATTTTAGACTGAAGGCAATTGAAAATCAAAAAATGCAGAAAGGGCTCTCTGTTCCTCTTCGTTAGCTTCCACCCAAAAGGCACAGGTTTCCCTTTGTGAAGGTGCTCCCCACCTCCCAAACCAGGAAGAAAGGAGCAACTCTTATTATTACTGGAGACAGAGAGTTCGCATGGAGATGAGTCGGCCTAAAAAAACCTTACTAAAATAACGCTTATCTTCCATTAGTTTCTCCGATACATTTTCCTGTTACTTTCTCTCAATTTGTTGTTCCTTGAAGCCCAAACCCATTTTCCATTGTTGAAATGGCAGGTAAGTCCCCAAGTCTAACTGCTTCTTTTGAGTTTCACTTCTTGTCTAGAAACACCCATGCTTGTAAAATGGCAATAAATCTGTGTAGTGTTTTCCTGTTAATCTGTCTTTTGTCAGTTAAATTTGCAGGGTCTCAGATATTGAACCTGAGGGTAGAGGAAAACTTTTTCTTCTTCCACAGTTTGAACTCTGTTAGCACTTCCTTTAAAAATTTAATAACTCATTTTAAAAGAGGAAAAGAAGAAATAGAGAAGGAAGGAGAAAGATAAAAAGAGAGATATGAAGCATGTGGAAAGTCTAAAGCATGAGAATGAGAGTTTTTTGGAATTAGCTGTTTATTCATCTGTTTCATCTAATCATTACTCAAACTGTCAATGACTGCAGGCCTACTATATGGAGAGATTATTATTGTCACAGTCTAAGCCTGCAGTGAGGTCAGCTGTTGGATCAATAACAACTCTGCTCCCTCAGATAACGAATCTAAATGAGAATTGCCACTGTTAATCAGGTGTCTTGAAATCCTTGAACAGGGCATGGTGATAAATGGTTGCTGACTATTGTTCTCCTTTTAACCTCAGTGGACTTTGCTCACCCATATTTTAATTAACTAATTTAGTTCAGGACATTTAAAATGCTCAAATCCTTTCAAAATTCTCCCCAGGGAGGTTATTCCTGGAATAGACATCAGGACAAATGCCCTTCCTTTCTTTGTAGAGATATATTTGGCACATTTTTATTTTTTCTCAGAGGAACACATTTCCAAGGAAGACTTTGGTTTCACATTTCACTTAGCACTTAGTTCTTTACCTCACAGAATGACAGCATTTTAAAATTCAGCAAAAATATACAGTGTTCTTTACAGAGTATTAAACAAAAGTCAAAGCTTTGGAAAATTACAACCTTCAGTGCAAAAGGATATATTTTCTGCTTTTTTTGAAAGTCAATTAGCAATGAAAAGTCTTTTAGAAAAAAATGCTGAGTTAAACTGAGGTTATGGACAAGTCTTAATAATTAAAAGATATTCCAAATGTTAAGACTAAGATTTTAGCTTTTAATTTAATTTAATTTTTTGAGACAGAGTCTTGCTCTGTCACTCAGGCTGGAGTGCAATGGTGTGATCTTGGCTCACTACAACATCCACCTCCCAGGTTCAAGTGATTCTCTTGCCTCAGCCTCCTGAGTAGTTGGGATTATAGGCGCCCACCACCATGCCCAGCTATGTTTTTGTATTTTTAGTGGAGATGGGGTTTCATTATGTTGGTTAGGCTGGTCTTGAACTCCAGACCTCAAGGTGTTCCACCCGCCTCGGCCTCCCAAAGTGCTGGGATTATGGGCATGAGCCATGGCGCCTGGCCAGCAGTTATGGAAATTATTATTTTTACATTTTTTTTGTGGTCCTTGTCTTTCAACATGTATTAAATAAAAAAATTTAAAACAAATTGGCATCTTCTCTACAACATTGAGAGTATCTCATGATCATATTGCTGTCAAGTGATTTTGTAAAGCTAGGATTGATGTTATAGTTAATAGAGATGAGGGGCATTCATTTGCATTTTCACTTTCTAATGCCTCTCTCTCATATTTAGAGACTAACCAAGACAAAATAATTGAAAACAGTTGATTATTTTGTCTTCTTCACTTGATTGATAAATTAGCAAATGTAGTTAAAATACTTATGTGGGATGGGGGCGGGGGGGACAGAATAGTCATAGCCTCTCACTGAAAACTTTTCTGGATATCAAGTCCAGCTTTCCATCTCTAGAAACCCTCCTGTCTATTTATGTGAGGTCTGAAAAAACATTTTAATCCCTTTTGGTTATTAAAATGTAAGATATTTTTGTTGTTACCTTTTATAGCATTTATAAACTATCATTTCTAGTTATTTATTGCTTGCAGAAAAAAAAAAAAGGCATTCCAAAATGTAGTTGTGTAAAATAACAGCGTGGGTCAGGAATTCAGACAGAATTCTATAGAAATGGCTTATCTCTGCTGCATGAAGTCTGGGGCTTTAACTGGGAAGACTCAAATGGCTGAGCAGTGGCTCAGATGAATGGGTGCTTGAATTATTTGGCAACCTCTTTGCTCACATGTCTGGCATGTTGCCCAGGATGGTGTAAAGGCTGGGTTCAGCTGTAGCTGTTGATAAGAATGCATACACATTGCTTTTCCATATGGACCGGGCTTCTCATTCTCATAGTGTGGTGGCTGGGTTCTGAAAGGAAGAAGCCCAAGTCGGGACACCAGAAGAAGGAGAGCTCTAAGAGAGAAGGTGAAGCTGCATGGGCTTTTGTGGCCCAACCTTGGAAATCAGAGAACGTTACTTCTATTCTATTCCATTGATTAAAACAAGTATAGCCCTGCCTACATTCAAGGGAAGATGATACAGGTGTTAAAGTAAACTAAATATGTCCTGAGAAGGACTCCGTAAGTCTATATTTCAATCTTTGTAGATGAACTGTAACCTAGCTTAATAGACACAATTAAAAACCTAACTTAGTAGTATTCACCTGTAATAATGGCTGGGTGTTGGCCAATACCAGCGGCCATACTTCAACCACTCACGGACTGCTGAATGTTCAACTACATTCAAATAAGGCAAACCCCAACTAATCTCACTGTTTCTGTACCTCATTTCTGATTCCTGTACATCATTTTACCTTTGTCTATAAATTTGTTCTGACCACGAGGTACCCCTGCAGTCTCTCTGAATCTGCTGTGATTCTGGGGTCTGCCCAATTTAAGAATCATTCATTGCTCAATTAAACGCCTTTAAATTTAATTCAGCTGAAGTTTCTCTTTTATCAGGTGGTGTCAGAAGCGGGATCCAAAATGGAGTTTCTAGCAAACCCCTGGAGTGCTGAGTGAACACGAAAGGTACCAGCAGGACCCACTTGTGTCCACGGATCTCTCAGAGTGGCTGGGGACGATGGGTAAGTTGACTCTGAGATTTTGGAGCTCCACGGATTTGTGTTTTGAGCTCTCTGAGTTTCTTTGAGCACATTTCTAATCCTAACTGGGTTTGGAGTCATGACACAAACTGGACTGGGTCGAGGAACAGAGATTTGATCTGGGAATTGATGGGCTTGGATCCAGAGACCTCTTACATCTGATTGGGTCAGAGAGGGACTGGTAGTAAGCAGTAATATTGCAGGGGTTATAAATTTGGCTTTTGAAAATTCACAGGTTTTTTTTTGTGTGTGTGTGTTTTACCCCTTTGTTTCATTTTTCTTGTGTGCTTAGGTAGAAAAAAAAAATTATTGGCTAAGTTAATCAAGAGAACCTGAGAGTAAAGCCAATATTTTAGGTAAAAATGGGATCCTTAACTTGTGGAAAACTGAGCTCCTCTGGCTTATACATTAGGCCTGGGTAGCAGTGAAGTCTTATGGAAATGGCAATTTCTTACTAAAGATAACTTATGGAGCACTATTCTGTAGTCCTCCATATGAACAACAATGCAATGAAGTACATTTAAAAATGCGCGTTCTTGGTAAAGTGCCTTTGGCTTGATAGCTGATGGGATGACTGGAAAAGATGCCTTTACTACCGAGAAGCAGCCACCTGAACTTTTCAGTGTCATTGCAATGGGTGGGTCTTTCTCTGCCTCCCTGATCGTTTCGCCTTCCCCACCCTGCCACAGGCAATGCTTTTCTCTCTCTCCTTTCCCTTATCTTTTCTGTTACTCAGGGCAGCCATCTTGTCCAGAGACCACATGTTGAAGCTTCTAGTTCAAGGTTGGATTAATGATGATGGGGCCCAACCATGGGGCAAATTTAAGCCTTGCCAGTTTGATATTGGGTGCTAAGCAGAGTGGCTAATGTCTATGTTTTATCGTTCATGTTTTACTGTGGCCAGAACAAAAAAGATAATTTCCCTTTATCATGTGGCTTGGCCCCAGCATGATGGTGCGGCAAGCTAGGTCACTAGGACTGCTCAGGGAAAGGGAACCCAGAAGCCTGGTATGCTAGCAAAAGGGTAAGAATTTCTTACCAGTCATGTTTCTAGCCTCCCTCTCTCTGTGCAAACAGTTGAATGAATCGTCAAAGTCACTGTTCATCTCTTCTGTAAAGTTTTGATTACTGCAAAAAATAATTCTGAGGCTAGCCTTAAACTGATGTATCTGTGCTATGAATTCATTTTTCTGGATCAAGGGTTACTTTAGGATAAAACTTGGGCTTAGGACCCCATAAGCTCCCTGCTCAAGATGACCCAGCAAGCTGATCAATAACAAACTTTCCTGCAGGTTCCTGAAACAAAAAAACTGGATGAGGTCTCCATCTTGTTTTATGCCCTTGAGAACTTGACTTGTAACCATGTGGCAGTATTTTCTCTTGGTTTCCGCCTTCCAGGGAACAGGAATTTTAGGGTTTATGTCACAGTTAGCTCTAAAAATTATCTTGAGTAGTTAAAAGCCTTTGCAAGCTCAAAATTAACTACTCTAGACTCCTTTTGGGAAGGACAGTGAAGACTGCCCTGTGCTATTGCTCGGTAACTAAGATTTTGGTCTTTTACCCTGGTGGTCTGGGTTTGATTCCCTGCTTAGGAAGTAGGTTTAATATCTGCATAATCTTGTCTAGTCTCTTCTCCATGGACTTTCTTAAATTTTATGTTCTCTGAACACCTGGGAGGTTATCTTTGGTAAAGTTCAAAACCCAGAAATATCAGCTGTTCGGCCTGGCTAAAATCAAGTTAATAAGAAATTTTAAAAGGACTTTATTAAAGAATGCTACGGTTAAAACTCAGCTTAATTAAAAGTGGATATTCAAGCTTTAACTGCCTGAACTCCATGGCAAAAATGGAGGTACCAGAAATCCCTTTCCTGGCCCTGTTCTTCCAAGGGCTCTACCCTTGGAAGCCAATAACCAATTAAGTAGCTTATAAACTGGCAAATGAAAAACCTTATGACTACTATAGTAATCTTCTGTTTATCTATCTATGTAATTAAATATGTGTTGTGTGTAATGTTTATGTAAAAGAGCTCTAATTGGCTTAAACAAAAATAAGCACTCTTAAATATTTTGAAAGCAAAATAAAAACTGTAATGCCTTTTAGTTTATGTAACTTTAGTAAGTTTTGAGAAAGAAAAGTAGCTTTAAAGATTATTGATAAAATTAAGACATTTTGTCTAAATTATGCAGGTCAAATATTAGGTTTACTAAATGCTTTAAGGTCATAAAATGCTTTGGCTTTTGAAAATTTTTCAATTTATTTTGGAGACATTAAATTCTAAGTAAGACCTGGGGATATATAGAATTAGCCATCCTCTTAGCTATGCAAAGGTTATAAAGAAAAGAGATTTTATATAAGACTGTCGAAGGTTTGTAAATTTAATTATAAGAGATTCTGTGTGTGAACATATAGGCTAAAGTGAAAATGGCATTATTCAGTTTTTTTTTTTCCCATACATGGACATTGGAATAGAAGCACAATAGAGTTTTCCTAGAACATTGTTCTGCTCTGAGAGAAAAATTGTTAGGGTTTATAAAAATCTTACCTTATGGTCAAATTAATTAAAATTGAATAGATTTATAAAATGTTATTTAAAAAACTAGCTTTAACATTAAAAATATACTAATGGAAACATGAAATTTGGTTTTCTCTTTTAAAAAGGAGTTTTATATAATATTAAATGATAATGAAAGGTTTTTGTTTACCTTTTAAGTAAACTATGAAAGAAAATGTAGGTAGAAGGGAAGGAAAGGAGACAGTCAGTTGGCCTCGTGCTATCTTCATTGGGTCTTGTTTGCAAAACTGAGTCTCCTCTCTACCAGAATAATGTTTTTTCCTTTTTAAAATTTTTGAGTTACCATTTTGACTAAATGAATGACTTATGGTAACCTAAGATTCTATTTTGTAATAGCCAGTGTTCTAAACCCTTACTATTTAACAAACCTTTCAAAATCAAGCTCTGGACTATCATGCTAAATCAGCCAATACTAAATTTGTTTGAATATACAATTTGAATAAATTCCATGGTCTAAGTCACATTACCTATGGTAACCCATTAGTTATCAGTGCTTTGCACCTGGAGAAATAACTTGTATTGAAGAGAACATAATAAGTCCAATGTTAAGCATAGACTCATGAAGAACCAGGACAGCTGCCTCGTCCTTCCTGAGTTTGTAAGCTTTTGTAATTCAATGTTCTGCATTCCGCAACTCATCATGGAAAATATAAAATAATCCAAATTGAATATGCTGATGTGATGACTTATAAATTGTGGAAATAGTTTAAAACCAATGTTTGGTTCCATATTCCTGGGAAAACAAGCAAAGTTTCAGATACATTTGGCTACCTGATGGGTCATTTAAACGTTTATAAAGGGATTTCATTCAATTGTCATTTCAGTGCATGTTTTCTGGTTGTATAAAACCTTTTCCATGCAAGAGGGCTGATGTTATGTAATGGTAGACTATTATGCTACAGTGTACAGTGTATTTTCACCAGGTAAAGAAAGCTTTTTTTTGGAGATGGAGTCTCAAATCTCTGCCTTCTGGGTTCAAGTGATTCTTCTGCCTCAGGCTCCTGAGTAGCTGGGATTATAGGTATGTGCCACCACGCCCAGCTAATTTTTGTATTTTTAGTAGAGATGGGATTTCACCATGTTGATCAAGCTGGTCTCAAACTCCTGACTTTGTGATCTTCGTGCCTCTGCCTCCCAAAGTGCTGGGATTACAGGCCTGAGCCACCGTGCCTAGCCCAAAGAAAGCTTTTTATGGTTCACTGAGGATAATCCCTTCACAATCTAGAACTTGAAGGTTGGATTTTCTGAGAACATCAGAGAAAGACAATCCTTGCCATCCATACTACTGCAAAACTTTGAAGCCTTGAACCTTGGGTTCGTAATCTCACAACTGAAAGGGGTACCTTCATGCTCCTGGAACTGTGCACCCATTGGAACTCTTAAGGTAAAATTAACCTGGAAAGTTTCTCCCCAGAAGAAGATGGCATCCTTGATGTGAATGGCCTTTACCAAGATGACAGGTCAAGACTTCTACTATCTTAAGACTCTTATCTTTGAATATTTTTTCCTTCTTTATGCCTCTATGAACAATAGAAATGAAAAGGGGTCTATTATGTGCACTTATAGCATATACTTTTATTTGTGAAGGATTTTGCAGCCAGCCTTATACATGACTAACTTTATGATTTAATAGATAAAAGATGAAAGCCAATGTAGGTGAGAAACTTTAGTGGTACATAAGTTGCCTCATAATCAGTGAAAACTCCTCTTAACCCAACATCATGGATTAAAGAGAACATTCCCAGGAGGCCATTAGTCTTCTAGAAGGACATTATTTTTTAGGTCCTTTTCCCATGGTTTAGAATAAAAGAAGCAATAATTATAAAGGCCTTCCTTATAATAGCCTCCACAGAAAATTCTACTTTTAAGGCTATCATCACACAACAGACTTTAAATTCTCTTGTGAAAGTTATGCTAAATAATAGAATTGGCTAAACAGAAAAGTACCTGTGCAGCTGCTGACACTTGTGGCATATGGAGAAATACATCAAATGCAGATTATAAAAATTCAGTTTTAGGGGATTAATGAAAAGACTATTTAGTCAAGTGAGTAGACTCTTCATTTAGCTCATTTTTGAATCTATTTAATTTTAGGTGGTTTGGTTTAAGGGGACCCTGGGTAAGGAGCATACTTCAAACTCTTGCTATCATCCTCCCGATAGTCATAAGAGTTTCCCTGGTGCACTGTATTCTCTCAAAAGTTGTATTTTTTATTTTATTTATTTCTTTATTTATTTGAGACTGAGTCTCACTCTGTCACACAGGCTGGAGTGCAGTGGCACAATCTTGGTTCACTGCAATCTCTGCCTACCAGGTTCAAACAATTCTTGTGCCTCCACCTCTCGAGCAACTGGGATTACAGGTGCCTACCACCATGCCTGGCTAGTTTTTGTTTTTTTAGTAGAAATG